ACAGTCAAATTTTGATCAGTTGACTGAAAAATTCATCTGTCAATCCTATGCATTTGAGATTTTTTTGAACTTGTTGAATGGGTCAAGACAATGCCATTGAGTCCTTGAGTCCATATGTGAGCTTGGTTTGCCATTGGTTAGGTCAAACAGTCAAAAATTGCCTTTGTGCAGTCAAAACCCTAAAAATGACCATTTTGCCCTTTTGGTGATCTGATCAAATTTCTTGTGGAATTTTGATCCAAACTTGACCAAATGGTTCATGTGAGTTCATTATGTTGATGTGGGTCAAAATTCATGAGGTTTGACTGTCAATTGGCCACAGTTGACTTTTTTCCCCAATACAGTTGATTTCTAGGTCAACTGTCCAATTGACTGGGCAAAGATTGGAATCAAGGCTTGAAACTTAGTATGGATAAACTTGTGAGTCCAACATGAAGCATGAAAGTCACTTTGGGCATTTTAGGTCAAAACATCCCTGTGCAAACTCAAACCCTAATTTGGGTCAACAGTGCAATGAGGGGCCTTGAGCAGAGCAAACCCTAACTTGATCTTGAGTTCCAAGAGTCTTGTGAAGAGAAAATGTTGATCAAATGAGAGGGAAAATTTTGGGGTACAACACCTTTGTATGTGGGAGGAACGTGATACCTCTTTGAAGTGATCCCAACTTCAGCAAATTGGGAAGAACTAGATTCCTTCTCCATCATTTTGCATTTATGACTCGAACACGAACTCTTTTTTACCACCTTCTAATTCTGGTTTGTCCCCCTTGATTAGAAAGGACGAACCCAATTGTTGTTTGGAACATCAATTGGTGGTACAAAAGTCCTTTGATACGGAAAACAGGCTTTCCTTGAGGCACTTGGACATTGTATGCCCCCTTCGCATGGTTGAACACCACCTTTGGATTCTTCTCTTGAGGGCCTTTCTTCTTCAATGCCTCAATTTTCTTCGCAACATTTTCATCATAGACTATGCTGCAATTTGGGCATAACATAGACCTGGAATTACCTAGCTTGCACCTCTTTAGAAAATCCACTAACTCCTCTTCAGGTTTTGGAAAAACAACCTTCATTAACTCAACAACTGTTTCTTCAGACAATTCTTCATTTTTAGTTTCACAATCCATTTTCTCCTTGTCGTCTTGTTTAACTTCAGTCTCTTCAGCAATATCAACCACCATCACTTCTTGTGGCTTAGACAGGTTGCCATTTCCACTTTTGAGACCTTCAATAGTCTCGACTGTTGCATCTATCATTGGATAAGCGGACATAACTTGTTCACTCTTAAAACCATCAGTGGAATTGATTGTCAATGATGTGAGTGAATTGATAAATGCCCGCATGTTTTCCTTCGAGACCATCATTAGGCTCGATCATTAGCACTTCCAATGGTTCGATAAAGTGTGCATTAACAACATGCAAAAAATTTGAGTCGACCTTCATGGAGCTTTTTGGTTTCTCACCAAATTTCAATTGACCATCTTTCGGAGCTTTCTGAATCAAATCCCTGAAAAGTCAACATTGGGAAGTGTTATGGCCCAAAAAGTTATGATACTTGAAAAACCTCTTTTGTGTTTCTGCTCTAATGGTGGATTTTTACTGCCATGAGGCACTATAATCTGACCATCTGAAACTAAAACATCAAATATTTCATCACATTTTGACACATCAAAAGTATATGTTTTAGTACTAGACGCATCATTTTTTGGTTCTTCGATTGTCTTTCCTTTTGACGATCTTATAGGTTTACATGCATACGGAGGTTTGACTTTCAATTCAGCCACATTAACTTCTCCTTCTTCCATGTATTCATCCTCAGACTCTATGGAATAATATTTTGTGTCTACATAGGCAATTTTTCCTTTTCTATGGTCCTTTGACACCCTAATTTTCTTTGTTTTCAAATGTTAAACATATCGAACTTTATCAGCTAGTTGGGAGATATCTGTAATAGATTGAGGATCAAACTTTTCCCTAATAGAATAGTCTAACCCCCCAACGGCCATTTCGACCAGCTCATGTTCAGAAACTCTAGTAAAGCATCCAGACTTTAGGACCCTAAACCTATTTAAATAATCTTCCATTGACTCAGACGACCTCCTCTTAATTAAGGATAACTCTTTCAAACTTATCTTAGGCTAACCAGCATAAAATTGCTCATGAAATATACCCTCAAGTTGTTCCCAAGTGCGTATGGAGTTTGGAGTCAACGTCGTAAACCAAGTAAAAACATTTTTTCAATGAATTAATAAGATATCTTAATTTAAAACCCTCATCGTTGGCGATATCGCCAGCTTCTGTTTCGTACCTAGCAATATGTTCTATGGTCGACTCATTGGCATCACCAGCAAACTTGGTAAATTTAGGTACCTTACATCCCCTAGGTAATTCTGCCTGTCGAATGTTATCAAGCAAGGGCGAAGAGTAATTGGGCCTCTGGAGGCCAACATTTACTCCAGATCATGTTAATACTTCTTCTACCATATTCACTATGTTGTTACACCCAACGTTGGTATTTCTTAGCACTCGATCAACATCTTGGTTTCTCCTAACTACGACTGGCCTAGGTTCGTATTGTTCAGTGAGTTCTTCCTCTTCATAAGTGGCTGTTTTCACTCTTCGAGGTCTAAAATGACGCTCATTGTTTCCCCCTTCAGTTCTTCACAAACTCTCAACGGCCTATGGTGCGTTTGAGTTGGTTGAATCCCTAATGAGTCAATCTACCTATTTGGTCAACTACAGGATTAAGGGTGACTCCTATTTGTTGAGTTAAGACATTTTCTAACTCTAAATTACTCTCACCCATATGTTTCCTTAAAGCCATAACGGAAGTAGTATGCAAAGATGGTGTCGACTGCGGGACATAACTAACACCACCTGGTCGACCACTTGGGACATAACTGCCTTGGTTTCTAGTGCCCATTGTGTTTTCTATATATATGGTCGGGTTTGACTGTAACCCAACCATCATGGAATAAGTCATACCATATTGGTAAGGGACAAATGATGACCCTGGACCCCCTAGAAATAGTGCTCGATTTGGGTCAAATGGTGATATCCCACGCCTAGGTTCTATCATTGTGACTGTTGTCCCTGGACCATGAACAACGATCGATCTTACGGGAGATAAAAATGTCGCACTTTGAGTTGTGGTACTTACTGGTATGACATACACATTTTGTATAAAAATCTGTATATGTGTCGTGTTTGTATCAGAGCATGGCATTTTAGACTTGGACAAAAGTTTACCACTTCTCAAATTCATACACACACTAACTATAAGAAACTTTGTAAAACTACACACAAAATACGAAATTATTAGCACTGTCCCACTGGGTGTGCCAACTTGTTTACCTCTGGTTTTGATAAACAACGCTGGTCTCTTAACAAAAAGTTTACTGGTAAGATCGACCAGGGAATCTCAGTATAATGCTTCAGTTTTCGAGTGTTTTCACAAAGTATGTTCAAAAGGGTTCATTTAACTAAGGAAAAACGAATTTAAAAGCAATAAAGCAAGAATCGTAAAATAAAGAAAAAACATTTTAAACTGTAAAAATAGATTACATAACATCAAAATAGTTAAAAATGGGTTAATTCAAACATACATCGTCCTTTCTTGACTCATTTCGCTCGTTCGCTTGGATACTCTGAGTGACTAGCCTGTAGGAATGTGAAAGTTTGAACCTCTTACACTATACACTAAGTGCTTTATTTATAATACATGAAAATAACTACTTTTCAGCGGACTTCACTTCTTTATGATCTATGTGTCTCATGTAACTTCCCTCCATGAAGCCATGTTCTTCATCCCTGCTATCGAACCCACATTCTCCATTCCTGCTATGGAACCCACGTTCTTCATTAACAATGCTTTGCTTTGCTAGTTATGCCCTCTTTTGGGATTTTTAACACTCCTAGGCCCAATTTGTTCCTCATGAGGTCTCCTTTCTGGTCGACTGCGTCCACAAGCCCAAATTGGCCTTTTATGAAACCTCTTCCGATCGACTGCTTCCGTGGTTAATTTCCTATAGTTCAAAGTCTTGAAAGAACTTTTTTTGCTTTTGGTTGAATTTTAACCCTTTGTGAAAATCCTAGCCAACATTGATTAAAATAAATTAAGAAAACGAAAAAAAACTATTTGAAATATTATAATTTTAAAAGAGGTACCATCATACAATTTCATCATATGGTGAAAACAACGAATACATTAAAAAAGAAAAATGGAAGATTAAGGGGAGGGGGGCCTCATATATTAATCATCATCCAAAATAAAGATCATTATTTTTAAATACTTAGAAAATTGTTGAAAGAAGAAAAAGTGTTGTGAGAGTGAAAGCTTAGAATTGTGTGTTGATAATCGTAGAATTCGTGGGTGACTTTTTATGAAGGAAAAGAGACCTATTTATAATGTGAGAAATTATGTCAAATTGACAAATAAGGAAATTACCCAAACAGTAAAAAGCCCAAAGATTCTATCTTAGTCAGCAAGATTAAGCACCTGGACCTATTTATGTCCATGTGCAAGGTATGATTTGGAAAAAGATTTGACCTAAAAAGATTTTATTTATTTTTAAGATTTTTGACTATTTTTTAAATAAAATAATTATTTTAATAAAAAATAATATTTTTTAAAATATAATAAATAAATAAAAACGAAAATAGTAATTAAATAATAATATAAAATAATATCCAAAGTGCACCAAGTGAGATTTAAACCCATGACTTCATGTTTGAAAGCTTGCTCCCTTACCAATTGTGATATGTTACTTATTTGAAATAAAAAACCAATTGAAATTATATGAAAGGTAATTGAATTTTTTCTATTTAATAAATATAAATAACTTAAAATAAATTATTATATATTTTTAAATGGACGAAATAAATTGAAAACAAATATTTATAAAACTCAAAATGTTAGTGTATATAAACCAAAAGAATTTTATAAAACCCAAGTTTAAAAATAATTTTAACCGTTTGAAATGGGGTGGTCAAATTTGAGATATGAAATTATCAACAAAATCTTTTGAACCACCCTTGCCAACCTCTCCAACTCCAACATTCATTCAACATCAACATCCAAAACCGTGGATTTTACAAAAACAATACACATCGACAAAAAGAGTAGAGACGAAGAACAAAGAGGAAAGTAAGATGGAAACGCAAAGCAGAGAAGAACCGTACCTCATCAAAAATCCGGCGAAAACCTCCTCGTCGAAGGTAACCCGATTTCACACTTCTAATCTTGTTTATTGCCATTATTTATTGTTGTTTGTTGCTATGCCGTTCAAGCTATTATTATTGTTCGGTTATGTGGTAAGTTGAGAAACCTAGTGGTTGTTACTGTTGTTGCTTATGAAACATAATTGTGAGATTTGTTTGACGTTGTTATCATTGCTTGATTCATAGCAATGAGAGATAACCGAGAGAGGTATTGCGTTGTTGATGTTGGTGTGTCCTTGAGATGCGAAACCGAGAGCCTGAAGCACAGTTGGAAGATTGACGCTGTTGTTGTATTGATTTCGTAAGAGAGTATCGATTGAGAGAGAGAACAAGTTCTGTTGATGTGGGTGGTTGAGTAAAGAAAAGAAAATTGTGTGAGAAGAACGATAAAGATGAGGAATGAGAGAGATGGAAACGAGAAGAAGATGAATAGAGAGAGGGAGTGATATCGTGGAAGTTGAGAGAAAGAAGTGACGATTTAGTCATGAGAGAGAGATTGTGGAATGATTTGAGAGAGATTAAAGTGAAGTTAGATGAGAGAGAGTTATTTGATCTTAAGTTCTTGTCATTAATTGAGTTTGTTTTGGAATTAATAATGAAATAATTTGTGACCTGCTCCAAGATGGTGAGTTTGTTAACATATTAATTTTGTTAAATGTTCCTATTTAGTCTAACTAATTTTGATTAATTAGTTCTATTAAATATTTTCATTTAACTTAATTAATTTTTATTTGTTAATTGTTTAATCGTTTAAATTGCTAGTTGTTTAATCTCTTTTCAATTATTTGATCTTTATATTTTTGTTTGTGATTAAATTCAAGGGAAGGGATCACATTTATTGACTACTTTGGTCATATTTTAATCTTGACTAGTATACTTGATTCATCTATTTCATTTGTCTACCTTGTCATGTTTTATTCTTGACTTGTACGTTAGTTATCTCCTTTTAACATCCTTGTTTATGTTTGGTCCTTAAGACCCAATCTTTTAGCAAACAACTAATTTTAATACACAGATATAATAAGAGGTTTCTGTGGAATACCGCATATGCATTGGGTACTAACACATTCCCTTTGTATAACCAACCCACATACCTTTGACCTCTTTATTGCACTTAATTTTACTTGTTGCATTGCATATTTGTTTATGAGTTTTATTTTGCTCTTTCCCATTCCCTTGGAAATAATAAAGTGCGGTGGTGACTTTAACATAATGAGTCAAGTCAATCAATGACTTGATCTCAAAATTTTCACCGCTATACATATCATGGTTAATAGTAGAATAATATGTCTTGCATAAATCTCGTAACCCAGATAGGTGCATCACATCATCAAACCACACTCTTGAGGGTGATGCAACCTCACAATCTTCCGACCATGATTGATGCATTTTAAATCATCGTCAGAAACTTCAAATATTTTAACAGACGTGTTTCAAAGAATAAATACATATGAATTTTACATCTCATTCTCACACATGTCCGGTGACATGGTCTGAATATAGAGGCGACAACTAACACTCCAAAATTTTATTAGAATTATTAGAATTTTTCTAGAATTTTATTTAAATTTTTATTGTGCTTATGATTTTATTTATGTTATTATTGAGGGTTTAGTAAAATAAAGTTGAGTTTATTAAAATAAAATAGAAAAATAATAGAAATCGAGAAAAGTGGTAATTATTTAGAAATAAGATGTTAAATTATAGAATTTGGTAAAATAAGAAATTTAGTGTGAATAAAGAAAATAATAATAATAAAAATTTAGATTTATAAAAGGGTGATGAAAGTTAAAACGTATCAGTAGAGCAAAAAGAGAAAGTTGGAGCAAGCTCTAGAAGAGGTTTTTTCAAGGCTAGGAACTTCTATCACCTAAAAGTTTCAAAGTTCGGCTTAATAAGGTAAATGTGAGAGATTATTTCGTAATGGTTTTAAGTTTTAGGGATAGTAGGATTTCTCTTAACCCCTAATAGATTTTATTGATCAATTTATTAAAATATTTTAGATAAAACTTCTATGATTATGAGAATTTTGTGAGTTTATTTTATTTCATCACTCTGTGGATTAGTATGTGAAGTGCTTATAAGTTATATCAAATTATTCCAATTTTGTATCATACAAGTCCGAAATAAATCAATTGCTATTAGTGCCCCCTTCTAAAATATTTACATAGGTGGATTATCATAACAACAGTTGTATATTGAAAATTATTATATATTCCAAAATTTGGTGTTGCTGTCAATATGAATACTGCTATGCAGTTAATTTCTCTTATATGTGTTATACTCTAATTTTTGTTCCTAAGATCCCTATATCATTTTATACCATTGTAATGCAACAAGATCATGCATTAGGTTTTGGGTATTTTTTCTACTTTATCTCATCTTTAAGTTTGCTCTTGAGGGATTACCAAGCACATTGAATCATGTATATTGTATATATGTGTTTTATATTTTACTGACCTCTAATCAAAATCCAAAAATATGTCTTGTTTATTTTGTTTCTTGCAAGACAGGGTTTCCGATCAAGAAATTCAGGTGATGGTTCTCCGATTAGGGTTGTGGTTTGTTCAGGCCAAAAATGGTTCCCAAAAGACTATGTTTCATAATGGTGATCCACAATCTTAGGTCACGCTATCCTCAAGCTTCATTCAGCATAATTAAGGCGAGTTTGGTTGCTTAATTCTCGAAATTCTTCGAGATAGGTTCATGTGTTTATTTTCATGCTTCTTTGATGAATAACCTCAAGTCCAGACAGGTGTGAGCATGATTTAACTAAGACTTCATTATTTCAAGTCCATGTGTGATTAAGAGTGCTTCAGGTTGTGAAGAAAGACAAATTCTGCAGTTAATTCAAAGTTGGTTGACTGAAAGTCAACGTTTGCAAGTTCGAGTTCGAATAATCATAACTTCTTCATTATTCATTATTTTTTGGTCAACTCTTCGAGCATATGAATCTCCTTGACGTCATCTCCAATTTCTCTTTACAAGTCGAGAGTTAATTATGTGTAGAAGGCCATCAAAAGTTTGAGTATATTAGAGGTTGTTTTGAGGACTTTGACCTATTTTCAAAGTGTCGGTCGTCCAACTTTCGATTATTATAACTCTTTCAATTTCCATTGTTTTGGGACGATTCTTTTTGCAACGTGTCACAAATGGCGTTATCTACAAACTTGCTTTAAGGGTCGAAGTCGAATTATGCTTAGAAGATTATGGAATTTGTTGAAGCTTTATAGGTCATTGCGACTTAGGTTGATTCTGATCTCTAAATGCAATTCATGCCATAATTATCATGTTAAGATCATCCTTTGTTAAGTGGGAATTTCGAAGAATTAGGGGTTAGTTGTTGTTTGTGTTTAGCATTATTAGCTTGAATTAGAGTTGGACTTTTGATTGAAAATTCTTTTTGGTCATGACATGATTATTAGAAATTCAAGATCATTCTTTCAAGTCAAAATTTAAAGTTCAAAGGTGATTCTAAATTCAAATGTCGAAGTTTTTGCAATGGAGGGAATTTCTTGTTTCCATGAATTTAGAGATTACAAGACTTTTATTTTGGTTCAAGACAATGTTCAAAGATCATAATCTCAAGTACAAATGTCATGATCATTTCAAAAATTCAAGTATCATTCAATGTTCAATTCCAATTCCATCCATGAGAATTTCTTCAAAGGGAAAGTTTATCCAAGAAGATCATTTGGAATTTAAATTACAAAGTACTTCATCAATTCTTGCAAGAATTCAAAGTTCTAAAATTACAAATTTCACTTTGTCTCTAAGGAAATTTAAGGGTACAAGTCCAAAGTTACAAAAGCCTTGAAAGTTTTCTTCAACCTCAAGTAAGTTTGTTTCCATGCCATTCCTCCATGTCACCGTTTCTTTTATTCATCAATGATCATTGTCCCTAGCACAAATAAAAATATCAAAGTGTCATGAGAAAGTTGAAAAACGAATAAGTAAGATACAAAAACGCTTCAAGTTACATTATCAATGCTACAAGTACCATTCAAGCTTCTATCCTAAGTTTCATCATCCAACCTACTAGAATTCTCAAGTTTCCCTTACCTAAGTTCCAAGACTTTTAGAATACATTAGTTTTTTCTTATAGATCCACTCCAAGCAAGTTTGGCCTAGGATTTCTCTATGTATCTTCAAGGTTTCCTCTTCATACTCACACCATCCATCAACACAAAAAAAAAAGATGAAGAAGATGAAGTTAGCAATCTCAATTCCATATCCCAAGATTCAAAGGTTCATTCGAAGAAATCTCAACAAAAGCAATCACAACAACTCAATTTGTTTTCATCATGTTTATTCCACAATTCATCCAAAAAAAATATATCACAAAAAATGAAAATTCCAAAAAAAAAACATTAGTAGTTTTCATTCATTCAAGTCCAATATAACAGTTCATTAACATCACAAAGAGTGCAAACAAGTGGGAATTTGGGAGACATTAGAGCAATTTTCGTGGGTGTTGTACCCCAAAATTTGTCCTCTCTTTTCTCAAGACATTTTCTCACAAGGATTTTCAAAAGTCCAAGTTTGCACAAATACAATTGGATTTTTGATGCCCCATATAGTTTCCATGGATTATATTGGGCTCTCAAGCATCAAATCAAAGAAATAGCAAGTTTTCTTTGATTCCCAAGCTTCCACAAGGAAAAGGACTCCTTTGAAGCAACTTGATTTCGATTCACAAAGAAAATGATTCCTTTGAAGCAACTCGCTTTCGATTCACAAGGCAAGTACATCCTTCAGGCTTGCTTTCGATTCACTAGGCAGATACCTCCTTCATGCTTGCTTTCGATTCACAAGGCAAGTACATCCTTCAGGCTTGCTTTTGATTCACTAGGCAAATACCTTCTTCGTGTTTGTTTTCGATTCACAAGGCAAGTACATCCTTCAGGCTTGCTTTTGATTCACTAGGAAAATACCTCCTTCATGCCTGCTTTCGATTCCTAAGGCAAGTACATCCTTCAAGCCTGCCTTCGATTCACAAGGCAAGAAATTCTTTCATGCATGCTTCGATTCACAAAGCAGTGGCTTCCCTCATGCTAGCCTTGACTCCGCCTCTGAACTCTTCAACACATAATTTCTACATTATGAACACACATTGGTGGCCCATTCGAAGAACGCACAAGGGGTGCATGTGGTCCATTCGAAGAAACTCACAAGTAGTGCCTTCTATGGATATACATTTGGATCATTCGAAGAACACATAAGGGGTGCATGTGGTCCATTCGAAAAAACTCACAAGTGGTGCCTTCGAAGGACATACATTTGGCCCATTCGAAGAAACTCACAAGTGATGCCTTCGAATGACATACAATTGGTCCATTCGAAGGACACACAATTGTTGGAAACGAGTTTTATTTTGTATTTTGATGAGTCTGGTTCAAGATGCTTATGGCCAAAGTCCTACATGCTGCCAAGTCCAAGCCTCATGCACAATTACATTCGAAGGAAATAACAAAAGAAGCTTCGAATGGCCAGAAGGAAGTGTTCGATTGGGCTAATAGGAGAATTTTCCAGGTCAAATAACCATCATAAATGAACTCAATCGAAGGAGCCATGAGGATGAAACTGTGAACAAATCGAATTGAAGCCCAGAGCCATCAAAGGAAGCCACTCAGAGCCAATCGAAGAACAAGGCTTGAGGGCATTCGAAGGAGTCAGGGAGTGAAACATGTCCAGGTTCATTCAAAACGCAAAAGGGTAGAAAATCCTAAAAAAAGGCAACCTATTTAAGGCTTTTGATTCTACCTTCAAAGCCTGATTAATAGCTGTTTCTTGCCATTTCCATTCACCATTACCCCCTATAAATACATAACTAGAGTGCAAGCAAACGACATATTCATTGCCCATTGAAACACATTGTCTACATACACGTTACCTATACACACACGTTATAAAGTGGTCAAAATCGAAATAATCTAGGCAGGCCTCCTCAAACCAAAGCAAGAACTCCACTCACTCCTTGAACTTTCCAGGAGCCATTTCCAAGCATTAGGCAGGACCAACGTACGCAGGGACATCACTCACACAATCCCTCCGTTTTGGTAACTTGCCTTCGATCTCAAACTCCTTCAATATGTAATTTAAATTCATATTGATTGTATATCTATGCTATGAGTGACATTTGTGATTGTTAATGTTATTACATGTGAAAATTAGTACCAAAGTAACATGACACCATTATTAGAGGATTTGAAAACTAAGTCCTTTGAATCTCAACATCCAGACACCTCTTTCCTTCTGCCTTGTGCAACACGCATGTTTTGAGATATATATCTGATTTGCTTTATTAATCTAACGTCATGGTTTTATTTGTATCAAAGAATGAACAAACAACTCAGATGGTAAAGGGGAACGTGTGCAGTGGAAAGGGCCTGGATTCGATACCCAAGTTGTGTATTATGTTTTTTTCTTTAACCATTATCTTGCAGATCCAAATCGAAAGGCAGTCCCCTCCTTGGATCGAAAGACAACTTCCCTCCTTGGTTTGAAAGGCAGCTTCCTTCATTGGATCAGAAGGCAACCTGGGCCTTTTCGTTGATCTAGGCCTGCGTTTTATTTTACTTACACCACCCTATGTTGTCTTTGCTATCCTGGCCCATTTTATTTTGTTTTTTAATTGTTTTTTTATTTAACTATAAAATCAGATAAAAAAATCACAAAAATTAGGTTTTAGTCTTTTTATTAAAATTAATTTTGTTAATTAATTATTAATTACTTAAACATTTTTTTAAAATTAAAATTAAGTAGATTTAGATTTTATTTTTCTTTTATTAAATAAAAAACAAACAAAAAGACTTTTCTTTCTAGGATTTAGACGTATTTCCAATTCGCGTGCGATTTTATTTTAGTATTATTATTTTTCATATTATTGTATCTGCTTACTGGGATGTAATAGTTTAAATTAGGACCTTTACTTTTTTCCTGCTTTATTTCCCATTTTGGACTTGTAATTTCCCCCCTCCCCGAAGCCATGTAATAGTTAGATTTAATTTCCACACTTTAAATTCCTGCACATATACTAACTGTTTAGATGTATGGTAATAAGATTGTATGACAAGAATTTAAAACAAGACGTTAGCAAACCTAATGCAAAGATAAATAACTGAATACAATACAATTTCACATGTACACCTCTAGGGTACCCCACTTTGGTTGCCTTCGGAAAAATAGTCACAACTCTCGAAACGTGAGAGATTTTAGTGGCTACCCTCCAGTTTAAAAAGATCATAAGTCCCTCGATGATCCTCTCGACGTTGCCTCAGTAAAAATAATCTTAAAAACCTAGGGTAGTTACTAAGATTTCTTGCCAAGTTGCCTTCGTGACTATAAACGTCCCTTCGAATGCCCCTCAAACATCCAAATGACTAGGACTACATACTCACTAATAGTAGGATAGCACTGCCTAAAGGAAAATGAGGAAAAGAATGAACCTTTCGAGTAAAGTAGATAGTTCCTAGATGCTATGCTCAAAAACAAAATTTTACACATACACAAAATTCTTTCAAAACATTTTCAAAACGCTTTATCAACACTCTTGAGGACTGATACAAGAGTTATCATAATGCAAACTGCCTCATTATTGGTACTT